CGAGCTGAACCTATGAATTCATTTCACAACAAGCAACAAACAGCCTCCATGTAATCTGATGATGGTACATATGAGTCGGATATGAAAAACAAGATGAACGTGAGACTTGCTGCGTGCGAGCCCTGTCGGCGTTCGAAGCTAGCATGCGGGCACGAAAGACCTGCCTGCACACGGTGCACTGGCCGTGGGCAGCGGAGTCATTGCGTTTACAGATCTAGACCTTTTCGGAGAAGAGTAACGAGAACGCAAGTTCAAGAGACGGAGTGAGTCTGCAATAACGATTATATAATGGTGATGTTGGTGACTGACCCGCACTTACTTCCAGAAGCCTGATGTCAGTTGGGCCGGCAGAGACCATTGCAACGGCGACCTCGTCGACACCTCAATCTCCAGCTGATGCCCCGTCACCCAATACAGGAACACCGACAGCATCGACGCAGCCATATCGCTATCCTAACCCTGGCTTTCTCGGGATCTCAAGCCACTCTACCATCTTCAACCATGTCTTCTCCGGTGATGGTTTTGGGCCTGCTTCTGATGCAGATTTGACTCCACAGCCCAGTTTGGCATCACCAATTGATCTAGTTGGCAACCAGGTTGTCATGGATAAGGCGATGCATGCGCTGTCACGTCTAGAGAAGATGGACATCTCCAAAGTCACACCTCTAGTGCGTTTCTGGCTCGAAAGGGGAGTAAACTTGCCTTTGGCTGGACCTATCGTTATTGAGTGCTTAGGGTCCTTGGAACATTGGAGAGAAGTCCTCGCTCCGACGACTGATATTTCTGGAGAGAGTGGTGGCTCCGGCTCTGGAATCACAAGCGCTGGCTATGTGGCAACTCTGTTGACCAACACACTGCGGCCTTTTGACATGAGTTCTCAGTCAACTCGGCAAGACTTCCTGGCCCAGATGGTTGGGTCCAATTTGAGGTGGGAGACGTTGGGTATCTTCTTTGTCGCTGCAGCCAGGGCGGCGTATGACACCCCCTACTTTCCGCCCCTTTATACAACAAATGAGCAGCGGCGAAGGCTGATGCAGGCACTAACTTACATCGGGGACTATTGCCTGGAGACAAGCCTCTCCCTCGATTGTCTTAATGATCTACAGTTGATCCTCCAATATGAAAACTTCATCGTTCATTCACATCTAGATGGTGATCAGAGTAAGTTCGCAGGTTGAACCACCGAAGCCTGCTGCTGACCTTGCTCATACCCAGGCTACCATTCATGGAGACGAATTGGAGATCTTGCAAGTTCGCTCTTCGCACTAGGCTACCATGAGAAGATCGAGAGGTGTAATCCGAACCTCCCTTCTTTCATCATTGAGCTGCGAAAGGCTTGCTTTTGTCGAATCTACACGGCCGACAAGGGCTTAGCAGTGTTTCTTGGACGACCTCCGCGGATAGTGAAGGACTACTGCCAATTTCAAATACCCAAAGTGCACAATGGATGGATTGAAGACGAAATTGACGACGCAAAAATGGCACATCTTGAGCCCATTAATTACAACGCCGATACACGATGTGTTGCGCGATTTGCACTTCTGAAGGAAGAGGTGCTTCAACTTTTGCGGAGGAAAAATATGACAGATGTCACGAAAAACATTAGGTTTGCTAAGACTAAGTCGTCAATGACTCGTTGATACTGATTTGACTAGGGAGTTCCGTGGAAAGGTCGAAGCACTGTGGCAAGATTTGCCAGGTCATTTCAGGCTCGATTCGAGCCTCCGAGAGTGTCAACAAAGCCCCTTTGGAAGAGACTTTTTAGCCCATATCAGGTTAGACTATCTGCATAACCTGTTCCTTCTGGGGCTCGTTTCACAGCAGCCTATCTCCGAGCCCAACGACGAACTCTTGAAGGTTGCGATAGAAATGCTATCCATTGTGGTTGAGGTCATTCTACTACGCGATCAGCTGGTAAACTCCGGGACATGCCTCATCTGGAAAGTTGCGCAATACGGACTGCCCGCTGCGGGAGTAATTTCACTAGCATTATTGAAGGAAAATGCTGCTTCAAATGTTTTTCTGCACTCGAGGTCCAAGATGATCCAAGACCTCAGTGTCTTGGTTGCCGAGACTAGGACCGGAGCTTGGATTCAGGCCGGCGAACCGAATTTCGCGTTATTTACCCGAGCAACTGGGACAATCCAGACAATGCTTGACTCTTTGCTCGCTGCAAGACCATCTGCGGAACAAGTTCAAGCGACAAACGTTGCTACTCTGGAAGTTTGGGAGCCTTATTCCAATCACCAGCTTTGGGACTTTGAGATGGGGTTCTGGTCTAATCTCGCAGAACACCCTACTCTGCTTGCTTGATGGATCTGGTTGAAGAAGCAAGTCAAAGTTACCGCTTCTCATGACTAAGCTTGCTCACACGCTTCGGAACGAGAAGGTGAATAAGAACATAATAATCTCGCAACTTGAGGCTTTGCGTATTGGGAGGCACGTCTGCCTCCATACTGTCTCCATGTTCCTTTGCTAAATCAAGGTGTTCTGCCAAATGAGTACCTTCCTTCACTCAGGCGATTCATAGGATCGGCCTTAAACATTCGTAAGTTTATTGAGCTTGCCGAGTTCCGTAAGCCCCTTCGGAAATGGGCAGGTATTAGCACTACCTACCATAAGCAGCTCTCCGATATCCAGTAACAGCGCTGGCAGCCTTTGCCGTTTGGTCGAAGCATCCGAGCCATCCGTGACCGTGAAAAACCCGGGCTGATGGATGAACCCGATCTTATGGACAAGTATCTTGATGTCATGGGTGAACTGTGTCTATAGGCCAATTTCTGCAGATTGGCTGTGAATGGACACAAATCCATGCTCTCCCGGAGTCCCGTCTGGTCGATTGATCCACCCCTTTCCCCTCTTCTACTAGTGTTTGAAGGGCCTGTATCAAATGAGACCCATGTCGACCTCACTCTGGAGATGATTGGTGTTGTGGTGGAGAAAGATGGAGGCAAATGACCCTCGACAATCAATCGGGGGCCAGGCTGGCCATATCCTCGGATCCTTCAAGCGAAGGATGTCCACCAATGCTAAAGAATCGTCTGGTAAGGATCTATGTAGAGACTCGAGACACGAACGGGTTTCTGGTAAAGACGCTCATGGCTAATGACGTCGCAAAATGTTGACGGCCGGGGTCCCACGACTGTAACGTAGCATCAACAGCAGGACTGGTAAAAGTGAAAGGTTGAGCAAAAACGGATTTCATTCATCATCAAGAAGTCTAAAGATCGGCAACAAAAGTGTTTAATGCAGGTGCGCTGAGTTACCAGGCAAGACAGGAGGAGTATTCCATTTTCGGTATTCTTCACGTCAACGTGGCAGAATTCACCGGATGTGACCATCATTTCAAAATTTTGTGACCTGTCGATGCATGTCGCTCCACAGGATGCCCACTAGTGGGGTCTGCTGGTACGCAATATTAGAAGGATTATCATTATCAATGAGGGGCTTCTCTTTGCTATGTAGAAATAAAATCTCGTGGTGTTTTGAATATCAACGCAGCTCGGTGCTCCAAGCATCACAGTCCCAGACGTTACCGCCATGGTGCATATCTTCTTGTGAGTGATAGCGATCAAATCTGATTTTTCGTGGGATCAGTACGGCTCATCTATAATCTGACATAGTGTCGGCGGCACTGGCCATATCGGCGGTGCTGTGCTGGACCAGCTCCTCCGGAAATATGCGGATGCGAATGTGAAAGTCCTCGTTCGGGACGAGAGCAAGGCTACCCGCCTTGTTCAAACCTACCCACAGATTGAGACGGTTATCGGCGACGCCGGAAACTTTGATATTCTTGAAAAGTGCAGTGAGGCGGCCGACGTCGTCATCAACACGGCCCCGGACATCACACATGACGACGGCATCAAGGCGATTCTGACTGGTCTGAAAGCACGTGGCGCGGCCAACGGCATAAAGCCTTACTATATTCACACATCGGGAGCTTCTCTCATTTGGGATGAGCCCGCCGGTTCCAAAGACGCCCGTCGGTGGGACGATCTCGCCGACATTGAAGACATCTGCGCGTTTAAGGGCGAAGCCCACACACATGCTGTTACCGATAAGATTGTGCGCGATGCGGCAACAGACGTCAATGTGGCCATCATGTCGCCTGGTTTCGTTGGCGGCATGAGTCCTTCCCTTGAGCACCCGACCCCGATCACGACGCCTGCCCTCCTACTCACCGCACGCGCTTTCAAGTCCGGCTGGCAGATCGCTGAAGGAGAAAACACCCACGCTTGGATCCACGTCTCGGATCTCGCCAAGATGTTCCTGATCCTTGTCGGAAAGGCCATTGATGGCACCTCCGACTCTGAACCTTTCGCCATCTGGGGTCCAGAGGCGTACTACTTTGGCACGAGTGAAGATATCTCGTTCGGAGAGTTCATGAAGCACCTTGCTCCTGTACTCAAGGATCAGAAGATCATTGAGAGCACCGAGATTAAGTCAGTCAGCGTGGCTGAGGCAGCAAGGGCCAGTATCGCTGGCAGCGACTATGATCCCGATGCTCCGCCGCCCCCGCCCGATACCTGGGCTATGCACATTGCCATCATGTACGGCATCAACATGCGTATTGAGGCGTCAAGAATGGCGAAGCTTGGATGGAAAGCAGAGAAGGCATCTATCTTGGAGAGCTTCCCGCAAATAGTTGCCGGATTGCTCGCGCGAGAGTAGTCAGTTGGCACGGGAATCCAAGTGTTTACCGAAAACTACCATTCGGATTAACGCCAAACCTTTTTCTCATCTATTCAATTGACGATTCAGAGGCATTCAGTAGATCTGAGAACATATCTTAGTGTACCAGCAAAGTATCAGATCAAATGCTATAATGAGGATCAGATTCTGAACCGAAGCAGGAGATTGAACGATCATGTATACTCAATCACATCAAGACTTAGTTCCAGGCTTTCGAGATTTCCGGCGCTTTCAGATTACAGCAACAGGTAGTAGCATAACACTTTGAGCATTCTTCATGGCCTGGACCAATACTAGCAGTTTAAAGCTTATAAGGTGTACCGATAAGCTGGGTGTCGATGTCCAAGAAGGTGAATCCTATTCCCGTGCAGTCGCTCATCTCGATCTCCCCGCTCTCGTTTCGAGTTTTCCCATCGACAATAGAGCATCTGTAGGCATACGGTGGCACAGCAAAGGACCAGAGATCCTACGCAGACCGAGTGGCCCAAAACATAATCCGGACTATGACGTTCGTTAGTCAAGCTGTATTCAAACGATGGAGTCTCGTTATTGGCGACTTACGCATCCTTCTGCAGGTAAATGAACGTGGCTGGAAAGGCAGACGTGTTTGCTAGGCCAATCAACAACCCAACTCCGGTAGCACGAACATAGTGAGGAGCCAAATTGTTGGAAAGCCAGCCCTTGCTTCGTCAGCAGCGTGTTCACTTGAGCAACGAAGAGCTTTGTGACTCACCATGATCATCGCACTTCCAGGGAAGACTCCCGTTGCAATGAGAAACGTACCCCCATAGCGAACATTGCTTGACTTTGAGGCAAGAATCATGACATACCCACACAAAGCTACCATGCTTCCAACGGCCATGACAGGACCTCGTGCCTTGATTTTGTCCGAAAGAGCAGACGTGGCGAGCACGACAAGAAAAGCGGCGATGTTGGGCGGAACTGTGAGAAGCTGGATCTGAGTGGTGCTGCGATATCCGAGGCCCTGGATGATCGATGGTAGAAAAAGCGAGAAGCTCTGCCAATTGAATGACGCATGTTAATCACTGATCTACGTCTAATGATGTAGCGAATGTAGGGAATCGGACATACGTAAAGAGGAATAAGAAGGAATATCCATGCCAGAGTACAAAAATATGTCTGCGGCGCGAGCACAGCCATCCTCACCCAGTGCCAGCTGAAGTGCTCATCATTGACGTCTTCAACGTCAGTAGCACCATGTGAGTCTTCTCTTAATCTTCTCATGGCCTGTGTACGTTCATCCGTTGTGAGGAACTTCGCATCCGCTGGCGTGCTTGGCATAAAGAAGAAGCAGATTACACCGAAGACGGTTGTAATTGCACCCTCCACTATTGGGCGTTAGAGTTCTACTTCATCATCAGGTCTAACGTGGTTGGAATAAGACTTACCAAAGAAGATCCAAGGCCACCGGTTATAGCCACCATGTCGTATCGTTGCTAAACCTGTGGCGAGCAGCCCTCCAAAAGCGCCAGATAAGGGTGCTGCGCAGTAAAATAGGCCGATGCGATACAACATCTGATGTCGACGATAGAACATTGCCAGGTACACAACGATACCTCCAAGTAGGCCGCCCTCGAAGAGTCCAAGAAGCAATCGACAGATCACAAGACCTGCGAAGGATTTTGTGAAACCAAGAAACGTGCTTACGATGCCCCAGCAAGTGATGAGAGTTGGCAGATAGACGCCGGCTCGGACTTTCTTCACAATCCAGTTGCTTGGAACATCGACGAGGATGTACGGGATGTAGAAGACCAACAACGCAACATTGAACTTCGTGCCAGTTACCATATCGAGGTCCTCCAAAAGCCCGTCAATCTTGGCATTCCCAATGTTGCTTCTATCGATAAACGCGAAAAGCCTGGGCAAAATCAGTTAGCTTCTGGCACCGTATGGGTTCCAATCCAAGCTAGAGTCTTACCAAATGCCGAAAAGCCAAGGAATAATGTGAACGTCAAACTTGCGATCGAGACGTTTGCTTAAGATAGGGTCTATTTCGTAGCGGACCTGGGAATGACGGATGCTCTCCACATGGCACTCTTCGGGCTTGCTATCCTCGAAGGTATGATGGGTCTCTGGACCATGGTCAACGGCTGTCCCACGTTCTTTGGACTTGAAAAACATTTTGGGCCCTCAACACAAGCCGAAGACGGAAGTAAGACGGTTGGGCAGCGTCAGGTCAAACAAAGTTTTGGAGATGATATGTTCAGGAGAGCAGGCTGGCTATTCAGACATGAAGCTCGACGGTCCAGTCACGGCAGCAACATGGGCAACACGTTCGGGGCATTTATCATTCCCAAGAATGCTAGGCATCTCTCACTCGCACACCCGACTATGACCAGAGACGCTAAATCTCCCCCACAAAGCTTATCCGATGGGTGAGCACTTCGTCACCACCCCATGGGGTTGATGTGCGGGGAAAGCCAGGGTAGACATTCGAATAGCCATCTCGAAAGATTGAGAGACCGAAGGGACTTCTACTTTATGGCAGTAAACGAACCGCTATAGGCCCAGTAGCTTGCTTATCGGGATTCAGATTGGGGAACATTGCCCGGCACAATGTGGCGTTGTCGACGGCAATTCATCAGAATAGCCGGCTGACCACAATAGGGAAACCGTAAATCAAATAGCGATACCTACAGGTAGGCGGGTTGAGAAGAGCGACGGATGGCAATCAACAGTTTTTTTCTAATGTCTGAGAATGATGTAATGTATCACCACGTCGTTTCAGAGTAGAGTAATCGATGTTCACAGCAATATTTCCACCCAAGCCCGTCATGGCTTAACTCCTAGTTCCTCGAAAATGGCCTCATTATGCTCGCCTAGCTCAGGTACTCTTTCCATTCTTGATGCCTCTACCGAAGCAAAACCAGGGGGGATGAGTGCAGGAATCGTGCCGCCTGGTGTCTCGACATCGGTCCACCTGCCTCTCGCTCGCAGTTGTGGGTGTTCCCATACGCCTTGCATGTCATTGACATTGGCATTAGCAATAGACGCTGAATCCAGCTTTTTCAGAACCTCTTCAGCCGAGAACTTTGCGAACTGCTTAGAAATGATTTCCTTCAGCTCATCTCGGTTCTTGACACGAAGCGTGTTGCTCACGAACCGCGGGTCTTTGGCCAACGCTTCATCGCCCAGGACAGTCCGGCAAAGATTCGCCCATTCCCTCTCGTTCTGCACACCTAGCATGACAGAGCCGCCGCCGCCAGTCTCAAAAGGACCGTAGGGATATATGGAGGCGTGAGCTGCCCCAGACCGAGCGAGACCGGGAGCCCCGTTGTAAGTGTAGTACAGTGGGAAGTTCATCCACTCAACCATGCTTTCGAGCATGGAAATATCTATCCGAGTGCCTTTGCCCGTCTTGCCACGCTTGATCACTGCGGCCAGAATGTTGGCATAGGCATACATGCCGGCAGAGATGTCAGCAATGGAGATGCCTGCTTTCGCTAGATCCGGGCCGTTCCCTGTGACGGAGAGAAAGCCTGCTTCGCTCTGCACGAGAAGATCGTAGGCTTTCTTGTCTCTATACGGCCCATCCGAACCATATCCTGAGATGTCACAGACAATCAGAGACGGATGGGTATCTTTCAGGGTGTTATAACCAAGGCCTAATCTTTCGGTGGCGCCAGGTGCCAGGTTTTGAACCAAGACGTCTGATTTGGCAAGGAGCTTCTTCAGCACCTCAAAGTCTTTTGGTTTCTTCAGGTCTAAAGCCAAACTCTCCTTTGAGCGGTTCGCCCAGACAAAGTGGGAGGCCATACCGTTGACGCGATTGTCATAAGCCCTAGCGAAATCGCCAACTCCGGGTCGCTCGATTTTGATGACTCGAGCACCCATGTCCGCCAGCTGACGGGTGCAGAATGGCGCAGCAATGGCATGTTCAAGGCTGACGACAGTGACACCCTCCAAAGGCAGTGGGTCTCTCTTCAGTTTAGGAGATGAAGAAGTTACCATAGGTCGATGCTGCGATCCAGTGCGTGTGGAGGGTGCCTGTGAAGAGGTGTAGTTGAGACATCGTGAACTCTGCTTTGGTGTTGTGAAAGGCCTTGACAACGTAGTGCCGTTCGGGAATCGAGAGGCTAATACCGAGAAAACAGCCCGGGGTGAAGACATGGTAGACAAGGGTACACGAGAGAGAAACGTCAATGTGGAAGTAGGCGATTAAAGTTTCTGATGATCTGATGAGATTGCCGGTGGTGGAAACTTGGCTTCAATCTCGAAGTTTCAATCATAACATGATATGGAGACTCAACGGCTTTTGAGCACTTCCATACGATGGCATGAATGTAATCATCACTCCGTACTGGCCTCGGCTCGAATTCTTGGAGATGCGCAACCAGATCATGGGGTAGTCAAAGCGTACGTAGCGCTGGTGCGTGCAGCGTCGGTTTCTTCAACCCAAGTCGGCTTTATGCAACCCCAGCCCAAGCGTCGATCACTTCTTAGTGTCGTCATTTTCTAGCTCGCCTGGAAGACAGTAGCCGGGCTTCGGGTCTATTTGCCGGACTTGAGCTAACCTTTAGTTGCCTTCATGCTTCGATATTCATGAATCGGCCTGGATGAGAAGACAATAATACCTTGAGCGCTGATCATACGTGCTCTCTTCAACCACACAGAGCTCAGCAGATTCTCACTTAATCTTCGTCAATGATCATTATGTCAGCCTCTGTGTCACGAAATCTTTGGCGCATTGCGCGACCAGCCATCAAGACCGCGGGAAGCCTTCGCCGGGCACCGATAACCTCAAGATATGGCTTGGCAGCATTCTCAACCTCCTCATCAAGGAGGATCATGGAAACCACGGGGTTTACCGAGAATCAATTGACTGTTCGAGAGGCAGTCAGTCAAGTCTGCTCAGAGTTTCCCAATACCTATTGGCAAGAACACGATCAGAACGAGCAAGACCCCAAAGAGTTTCACGCTGCTCTCGCAAAGGACGGCTGGCTTGGCATTGCCTTGCCTGAGTCCCTCGGCGGCTCTGGCCTAGGCATCTCTGAAGCGACAATGATGATGCAGACCATCACCGAGTCCGGTGCCGGCATGGCTGGTGCACAGTCCATTCATGCCAACGTCTATGCTACACAACCGCTGGCAAAATTCGGAACTCAGGAGCAGCTCGAGAGTACGATCCCCAAGATCATTTCCGGGCAGTGGCGTACGTGTTTCGGGGTCACAGAGCCCAACTCTGGCCTCGATACTTTGCGCCTGGCCACAACAGCAAAGAAGCAGACCGATGGATCGTACCTCGTCACTGGCCAGAAAATCTGGATTACATGCGCTCAGGTAGCATCCAAGATGATTCTGCTTGCGCGCACGAAAGCCTACGAGGACTGCAAGAAGCCGAGCGAGGGTCTATCGCTCTTCTGCATCGATATTGACAAATCACAATCTGGCCTAGACATGCGAAAGATCAAGAAGATGGGGGGCCGCGCCGTCGATGCCAACGAAGTATTCTTCGACAACTACCATATCCCCGCGAGCTCACTCATTGGCCAAGAAGGCCAGGGTTTCAAAATCATACTCCACGGAATGAACGCTGAAAGGTGTCTTCTCGCCGGCGAGGCTCTCGGCCTAGGCTACGCAGCGCTCACAAAGGCCTCAGAGTACGCGCGTGATCGCGTTGTATTCAAGAGGCCAATTGGGCAGAATCAGGCCATCGCGCATCCCCTGGCGGATGCATACATGAAGTTAGAGGCGGCGAAGCTTGCGACATATCACGCCGCTCGGCTATACGATGCCAGCAAGGAGGACTCTTCTATTCGTCAAGACCAGGTTGGAGTTGCGGCTAATAGCGCAAAGTACATGGCTGCTGAAGCGGCTTTCACGGCATGCGAAAGGGCGGTGCTTACACACGGAGGTATGGGCTATGCCGCAGAGTATGATGTCGAGAGGTATCTACGTGAGATCTTTGTCCCAAGGATCGCGCCTGTATCTCGCGAGATGATCTTATCGTACATTAGTGAGAAGGTCTTGCAACTTCCTCGCAGCTATTAGAGTAGAACATAGTATAGGTACATGAAATAATTGAATCTCTTTCCACCATAAGGGAGGCACTCAAGGAGCGCAATCTGCATAATACTGTAGAGGGCGTTTCTCCCTTCTCAGAACGTCAAGTTCGTGCGCTAGATTTATCGAAAGACTTGTTAGCTAATCCGAGCACCGGGTGTTTGGTATATACTGGGGAATGAAGACGGCTTGATCAATTACACTCACCGCCGCTTTTCCCTCTTAGCTGCAGTGCTCCTGGTTCTCGGTCAGCTCGGTCAACATCGGAGACATCGGTCAAGGAGACCCATTCGGTGAGGAGGTCCACGGAAGAAGAAGCCGAGACGTCAAAGCGTTGCCTGTGGAAAAAACAGTGCAATTGAACCGGCACTGTACGGAGAGGCTGGTTGCGCAAAGATATTATCCATGTTGTTCCCGTCGCAGGCCCAGAACACCACCTATCTGCGCCTTAATTCCTGATATTCGAGGGACGTCTGAAGGGAGTTCTGATGTCCTGCTCATAGTATCTACTGCGGCATGCCAAGGACCAGTGCCTACAATGCCGACAGAGGGTTCGAAGAAACCGCGCGCGAAGCACGCGTGTAGGGAGTGCAACTCGCGACGCATCCGCTGCAATGTCACCGAGCGCCACCCTTGTTCGAACTGCGAGACTGCGCAGGCGACTTGCGAAGTTATCCCGTCGCGAAGAGGCCGGTGAGTCTCTCCTGTTCTTCTCCACACTGATATCTCCGAGTCGGCAACTACTAACTTGGCCGGTCTAGGTATCTACGGAAGTCCAAGAGGCAGAAGCAGACGGAAGAGGCTGCATCGGCGACCCCAGAGCCCGCTGCCCCGGCCGTGTCGTCCGCGCTCACCGCTGATGTCGCCGCGACGCTTGCTTCTATGAGTACCGTGTCTCCGTCGCATGGACTTCCGAGCTCCTCTGGAATATCGCAGACTCCTTTTCACGCCGATACACCTGCTTCGTGCCATTCCTCTGGGACTACGGGCGGCAGCCGGTTCTTTGGAGAGTCGAATTTCATCACTCTTGTTCCTGGAGCATCAGGACCCGGCAATGAGGCTGCGACTAGTGATGGGATGTTGAAGGGTCGTCTCACCTTTCCAGTGCCGCAGACGCCACAATCTCATGACCTGGCTACTTCACCTGCCAGTGTGCCTTCCATGAGCTCTGCGACAGAGCGATACCTTCGGGATGAGGGAGCACTCACCTTCCCCGACATGCAGAGCTGTCTTCCAGCTTTACATGCTTACTTCACTTGGTTCCACCCTTGCTTTCCCATTCTTGACCGCGCCGATATCGCCAGGCGGCTCGTGACGATGGATATTTCACCGCTTTTGTTGCAAGCAATGCTTTTCATCGGTTCGACCTACTGCGACGAGGCAACAATTCTTGGCATGGGGTTCAAAGACCGGTCTGAGGCTAAGAACCTGACATACTCTCGCGCGCGTGTTTTGTTTCATGCCAACTGGGAGAAAGACGAGTTTACTCTTATTCAGTCACTGTTTCTATGCAGCTTTTGGAGGGGTGGACCGACGGATTGGAGAGACGTGAGGTACTGGCTAGGGGCCGTGTTAACCCTCGCGCAGACTCATGGCCTTCATCGCTCGTAAGTCCTTCGAGTTCTGTTGACTTTTCCAGGAGCTTGACTGAACATGTGCACAGAACTCGATTCATCACGAAGGATCCACATTTCGCTCGGATGAGACGCAGAGTCTGGTGGTCAATCTACGTAAGTCTCTGGTCCCTATTTGATCATGACTTCTTATCTCGTCGTGCGTCCTGTAGCTCGTTACTCACATACAATAGGTCCGTGAACGGCAAGCGGCTGTGTCACTGGGACTACCTTGTCGCATCCGCGATGAGGATTGTGACATTGAGCCGCTGACTTCGGCTGATCTAGAGGATGATGCTGACGAACAGCGAGCAACTGGGTTTGGTGCACCAAAATCAGAGCACATTCATTATGCTATCAAGATGATTGACATCGCTCGTCTTCGTGAGTCTAAATTCTTCATGCCGAAACCAACTCTGGGTACCAGCTTGACTGACCCATCTATAGTCGGGAGAATCATGGACACCCACTTTGCGCCTGGTCGGGGACCACCAGCCCCGACGGAAGTTCGTGAATTGAAGCAACAGCTCGAGGATTGGAAGCAAAGTCTACCAGATGAGATGCGTAGAGGCCCTGATGATGGGCAGTCTTCAGTCTTGACCTGCCTAATCCACCTTGCCTACAAGTAAGTTGAACCCAGTCTTTTCAGTGCTGTACTGAATAAGCAAGTATCGTTCCATGACAAAGGCTAACATGTGTCTAACTAAGCCATCTCCGTATCCTTGTGCACCGAAACGGATGGCTGCGAAATAGAGACCAGGAGGATAAGAGCGCAGCTCTCGCCGCCGCCTGTCGCATCAGTCGCATCGCCGAAGACATGCTCGCACAAAAGACCTTGCAATACGGCCAAATGCACCTGTGAGAACCCTAATGCTACGGACAGTTTGATGCCTCGACTAACTCTTCTAGACTTACTAGCCTCTTTGCCGCTTTTTGCATACATGCAATTGATATCAAGTCTGCGGATGGCATCAGTCGCCGATTAGCCGAGCATAGAGCCCAGATGTGTCTTCTTGGCCTCAAAGAAATTCAAAAGTACTGGCGTATCAACAACAATGTGCTTGACCTCTTCCTGCAATACCTCGACGAATCAATAGCGAAGAGACTTAACGGCGACAGCACTGAATCTGCACCGTCCAGCGCACTACCCAGCTCTGTCACGGGTCTTGAGCCGTTCAACGACGCAGGCACGAGCCCCCCGGTAACTCTACTACAAGATGCTCTTCAGCAAGCCAGACCCGACGCAATGGAAGATCAATACTTCAGCCTCATGCGCACAAATTGGGAAGGCGAAGATGCCCTAGAAGATCTCGGGCTATTCCTGGATCCTCAACTTTACGCCAATGGGCCAATGCAGGTAGAGGGGCTAAACTTTCTGCAGCGTTGCTTGTAAAGACGACAGAGAAAGCAGCAGTCTCTCTATGAAGTCTAAGGCCTGTAACGGGAGGTGAATTCGCCAGGGAAGAAGATCCCTCGAAGCCCGGCATAAGTCGCCGTAGAAAGGACAGGCTAAATTCTTACTCAGCATCATTTCGGCTTCTTCTGCCGAGCACAGTCACTGTCTGGCTTGTTGCAATCGAACTCTAAGAAGCCGACAGCATATAGCCGGGCGGCGCGGCAACCCCACTGACCGACGCCTGCTCGGACCATTCCTCATGCGGCGAAGTAGAGGGCTTGGGGTTCATCTGCCAGCAACTGCATCGGCCTTAACATTCTGGAGCTCTTTAATTACCAGCTCCATGCAATACTTTGCTATCAGAGTCTTTGACAAAAGGCACGTGCTGGAAACATCTAACAAACAAAAGCTCCAGCTGTCCGCGAGTCCTGAGTGATCGTTTGTACACACCAAAGATCCTTCAAGTCTCAACTCACTGCGTTCACAATGGTGTCCCTGGTTCATCAACTACGACCGGCCCTGCGTCAATGCACCGCTCGTTCACAGCGATCCATCGCAACCAATGCAACAGATGCAGCCTCTCAGCTTCTCGACACATTTGCTGGTAAGGATGTCGTCCGCAAGCAATTATTCGACTCGAACCAACTTCAACGTCTTAGCTTGACCCTCAACCGGAAAGAGCTGCACCCTGGCGTTGATGTTTCTTCAGAAGCACCCGCTCAAGGCACGCCCCTGCCCCCGGGCTACCACCTTGTTTACTTCACCCCCACTGGCGTCGAGAGCGAACTCGGAATGGACGGCACGGATAAGACTTTCAACGCGCCGGCACCGTTTACGCGGCGGATGTGGGCTGGGGGGAAGATGCAATTTGTTGAGGGAACCTCTCTCAAGGTTGGAGAGGTAGTTGAAGAGCGGACGAGACTAGTCGGAGCGACGCCGAAGAAAAGCAAAAGCGGAGATGAGATGGTTTTAGTAGATGTCGAGAAGGAATTTTATGGGCGCGATGGACTAGTTGTCAAAGACCAGAGGTAAGTAAGTCCTGGACATTGCATTCCCATGCACAGGTTGCGAGACTAATGTATGCTCAGATCGTGGATATTTCGGCCAGAAGTCGACTTGTCGCTGGCCGCGAAAACAGCACCACCGCGTAGTGAAGGGCCACCTGCTTTCGGACCTTCTACCATCACCGACCAACCGAGTGCAGAAGGAAGCATAATTCGTCACTTCCGATGGTCACCTGTTGGCCTCTTCAGGTTTTCTGCCCTGACTTTCAATGGTCATATGATCCACTACAACGAGCCCTGGACGAAGGACATCGAGCGCCATCCCGAGGTTGTGGTTCATGGGCCTTTGAATCTGATTAACATGCTGGATTATTGGAGAGACGTGTACGGCAAGGACGGCAGGGAAGCACGGCAGGTTACCTATCGAGCTATGTCTCCTCTCTACGCCGGCGACAAGTACACGCTTCGAACAGCTGTTGCGGAGAATGACAAGAGGAACGAGTTGTTCATCGAAAAGGGCAATGTTGTCTGCATGAAAGGAGAGATCATTGGCAGCTGATTGGGACCCGAATACGACCGTTTGATTCATCGCTTCAAGGCAGTACCTTCGATCGGTGTCTCAATGTTATAGTAATTACACGTGTAGCTGCGAGCTCAATCTTACGACCTCCTCATTGTCTCACCCCAGACTTCAAGACTCGAGCCATAAAGATGTATCCCGACACCAAAAACGAGCCAAGCATCCAGACCAGAGACCCAAGCCATCCATCCAAGTTTATCATCTTGAACAATCGTTAGTCAAATCTCTCAGACAAAACGCTTGGCTCAAAATTAGTAGACTCACAGGCACACTGGTTCCTCCGCTCTTGCGGACCCAGGGAAACGCTCGGTCGATGACTCTACGCTCATACTGATTGCATGCCACACTGATATCTTGTGTCGATGGTTGGACACCAGAATCAGCCTTTTCTTTGA